TACGGTTACCCGTACCCCGTACCCCCTCCTACCCCCCCCCCCCCCCAAAACCCCCGGAATAGGTATTGGTTTCCATGATTGAGAAATACTATGAAAATTTTCCAGTGTGAAATCAAGGAAGTACCTCATGACACCAAGGATGAAGATGAAATTCTTGAGAGTGAGTTTTTTGATACAAGGCAGGCATTTTTGAGCCTTTGTCAAGGAAATCATTACCAATATGATACCCTGAGGCGTGCTAAACATTCCTCAATGATGGTCCTTTACCACCTTCATAATCCCACTGCACCAGCATTTGTGACAACTTGCAACATCTGTCACCTTGATATAGAAACTGGTCAAGGTTGGCGGTGTGAAGTTTGCCCAGATTATGATGTTTGCAATGCCTGTTATAAAAAAGATGGTGGAATTGATCATCCTCATAAGTTGACTAATCATCCATCCCTGGCCGAACGTGATGCACAGAATAAAGAAGCTAGGCAACTACGAGTTTTGCAGGTGCATTCTTCTTGGCCCTTATTTAATTTGTTGTTTCATGCTGCTTCCTATGTTTAGTCTATGAAGTCCTCCGTTACAACTTTTGGGTCAGTTCTAGATCCCTGGCACCTACCGCTGCTTTGTTCTTTCGGAGCACTTTCATCCTCTTTGAATAACTATATGTTAGTCCTAGTTCACTGCAGCTTCTCTGTAGTTCTCTCCTCGTGTTTGATTCACTTTAGGTTACTCGATATTCTTTTTTTTTTTCTTTTTTCTCTTTTGAGATGGTAACATTGTGTATTAATATATAACAGTACATAGGTTGTACGGAACCCATATTTACAAGAGAACAAAAGGGAAGAATAACTGATCTACGATCCTAGCAGTATTGTAAGACTTCTAGGATTGATACAGTATCTTCTGGACACTTCTGTTTACACCAAAAAATAAGAAAGTAGAACGCAATTCAGTTTGATCTTCTGCACTGAGTTGCTACTTTCTTCAAAACACCTAGAGTTTCTCTCCTTCCAGATTGTCCACCATATACTTGCAGGGACAGTCCTCCATCTATCTCTGTCTCTAGCTGCAGTTCCAGCTTCATCCCAACTAGTAAGCACTTCAGTAATCTTATAAGGCATTGTCCATGAGATATCTCTGAGATTAATGTTGATCTGTTATCCTGCTGTGTAAAAATAGATCGCTAACTGTCTCAGCTGTTTCCCCACATAGAAAGCACCTTGAGCACAGTGGAATTCCTCTCTTTATGAGATTATCCTGGGTCAGAGCTGCCTCCTTTGCTAGTAACCAAGTGAAACAAGATATCTTGTAGGGTATCTTGACTTTCCAGATATGCTTCCATGGCCAATTAGTAATCTGTAGATTAGTGTGATCTAGAATCATGTATGCAACATTCACCTTATAGATGTCTCTGTTGTGGCCCTTCCACCAGAGTGAATCCATCCCATTTTCAAGTCCTTTGAAGACTTACCAGTTGCTTGTACAGCTCAGTTCCCAATCATTCAACATTCTTCTAAGTATCAGATCCCAACCTTGAGGAGTCCGCATTCTTCTAGGTTACCCGTTATTCTACTACCCACGTTCCTATGAAATAAGCTATTGTATAGCTAAATGTTAGTGTATCACACCTTAAGGCTGAAGTTTGCACTAGATGGGTACTACTTGCTAAAAATTCCTGAAACAATTGTGTTTTTGGACAAATAAATATTCTTTCATTAATAACACGCCAAGATGGTGTCAAAAGTATGTACAATCTAGCGATGTTGCTCAATGATAATCACCAATCAAAATTATCCCAATTATCTCTTCTTTGAGTAGTAGTGATGATTGCTTCATTCATTTTCTTGAAAATACTGAATAGCGTGAATACAAGGTCTTATTTGTTATGTGAATTTGCAAATTTGCACAACAGGTCTGTCTTTTGAAAAACTTCTTTTACTTTGAAGATTAGAGCTATCCAAGACCCTTATCTTTTTGCAAAACCTTTTTCTTTTTCAATTTTTTTTTACAAATGTTATCCAAACGACTCCTTAAGAACTTCTTGATTGAACATCTGGAAATTCATTTGAAAGAGAAAAGTATTAGATGCTTTAGCAGTTCTCCATCCTAATTGAAAAGATAAGAGGACAATGATTAAGCGATACCTTACGGTTTAAGTAGCATTCAATGATATCGATGGCTCTGTTCACATATAAATGAAATTATTTTAGCCAGATTATATTTTCTTCCATTTTATTGAAAATATATATACTAGACATTTGAGATCTGACATGATTTCTCCCTTTTAACTCTACAGCTTAAGAAGATGCTTGAACTTCTGGTGCATGCTTCTCAGTGCCGCTATCTACATTGTCAATATCCAAACTGTCGCAAAGTTAAGGGGCTTTTCCGCCACGGTATACAGTGCAAAATACGAGTTTCAGGAGGTTGTTTACTCTGTAAGAAGATGTGGTATCTCCTTCAACTGCATGCTCGTGCATGCAAAGAATTTGAATGTCGTGTTCCACGTTGCAGGTTTGTTGGCTAATGCTTCCTTACATTTTTGTAATCAATCACTTGTCTTTGATAATGTCATAATAATTAATTAAATGATGATTAGCCAATGCTATTGTTTCCTGCTATTAACAGCAGTAGCTACTACGCGTAGTAATCAATCAGAATCAAACAACTATGATTCAACCCAAATTGATTGGGGTTGGCTACATGAATCCTCTATACCCAATTTCGGTCTATGCTTCCCTGGATTAATCATAGTTACTGAATATTTTTTATGCTTGCAATCAACCTGCGGCAACCCTCTTTTATCTAACTGGGTATTGGTTATGCTTTGCATAGGTCATATAGGTGGATTCTAGTGATTGATAGATTAGCAAAAGATTTTCATAAAACACAATCACTTTATCTCCCTCTCCGCCTCTTCCTTTTTGGCAGTTCTCACTTTTGAATTTCAGCTTAAATTAACAACATAAAATTTGCTATATTTCTACCCATTATACAGAGATTTGAAAGAGCATCTGCGGAGGATGCAGCAGCAATCTGATTCTCGGAGGAGGGCTGCTGTCATGGAGATGATGAGACAGCGTGCCGCAGAGGTTGCAAGCGGTTCTGCATGAAGATACTGTACATACTGCAATAGGCGTCGTGCTTTAGTCTTATTGGAGGTAGGAGTACAGAAGTAAGGAGGCATTGGACAAACCTGCTTCGAGCAAACAGGGTGTGTTCATCCCTGAGAAGATGCTCTCCCATGACAAAAGAAACTGGACGTGTCTGGTTGACTAATGATTCTTCCTTCTATGGCACATCTTTGGATTACCTCTATTATGATGGTTATAGATCCAAGCTTCTTGACAAACTTTCCCTGGAGTATAGCATGCCAACGAGCTCATCCGCCCGTGGCTTATAGGTGATTCTTTGATTTCATTCTCTTTGCATTCTACCAAAAGCAGCCATCATTTGATGGCAGATGTAACATAGCGTTCCTTATTTAACTTGAGCTTGCACTACAGAGGGGGCAAATCAGTTTTTCTTTAGTGAAATTTTTAGTTCAAGGGTTCTCAAACTTTTCTTCCATTCTATGGATGTTTCCCTTATTTAAAGATGCAAGAGTTACAAGTAGCAACTTGCACTTGATTCAGTTTTGCAAGCCAAAATGTACACAGTATGTGTGTAATTATTTCCTCATGTTTTCCTTTTCAATTGACAACCTTACTTCCCTCCTTACCTTGACCGACAATAAATTGGATTTTTATTAATGTTATCTGACGAGTTTCTAACATATAAAGATTTAGGACTCGTCAAATTATAGTAAAGTAAATTATCGTCCCAGAGATTGAATATTCTATTCTACAGATTTATATTACTTTGACTTACTATTTGAGAGAATTGAATTGATAAATATCGGTGATAGTGTTATTAAAATTAGATTTCTTGAAATAAGAGGAACTACAAGAAAACATGTTAGTTAATTAAACTGCGTAAAATTCTCAATATGAATTTAGTTATACAGTTAGACCTCTCTATAACAACATACCTATATAGCAGCTATTTATTAAAAACACTATTCGATAGCAGCCAAAAATTTTTTGGAACCGATTTTTATCTTCTGTCATATTATGTCTTCTATAACAACACTACTCTATAGCAGCCAATAATTATCGGAACAAGCGAGGTTATTGAGAGTTTTGATTGTACTATAATGATTGACATTTTCCTCTAAGAGATTTCTAAAGTGATATTTATTTATTTCTAATACAAAATATTTTTACTATGAAGTGAATTATTAACAAAATACCTCTCGGTTGTATTTGTTAATTGACTAGTGATCTAACAGAGAAAATCTCGTTTTGGATAGTAAAAATTTCTTTCTAATATCTTTTCTCTCACTAATTAGAATTAGGGGTGTTCAAGGTTCGGTTTGGATCGGTTTTTCCCTTAAAAGAAACCAAACCAAGTAAGTCGGTTTTTCAAATATTAGAACCAAAAGAAATCAAGTAAGTCGGTTTTTCTCGATTCGGTATATGTCGGTTTTCGGTTTTTTCGGTTTTTTGTCGGTTTTTTCTTAAATATAAGATATACACTACCAAACACATATTCCCGCGACCACATTTTCAATGTAACACTATCAAATCAATTGCCCTTTGAGAAATTTATTATTTACCAAGATATATTGATGATAATTGAATCAAATAGTGATGAATAATTTAAGGACTCAATTAAAAATATGTTATTTTTAACACGAAATGGATTCTTACACTAAACAAAAGAAAACTACCAATCAAACTAGAATGTAAAGGTAAAGAACTATATTAAAAGTGCAAACTATTAACATTTACCATAATTTTTTTGAAACTTTGTATAACAATATACATATATATAGGTGTAATAATAAATTTGAAATAGCTACTCCTATGGTCGTTTGGTTCGGTTTTTTTCTGATTAAAACCAAAACCAAATCAGAAAATTCAAAACCAAAACCAAACCAAACCAAAAAGTTTCGGTTTTTTTGGTCGGTTTGGTTTGGTTTTCGGTTTGGTTCGATTTTTCGGGTTTTTATGAACACCCCTAATTAGAATAGTCAAGACTAGGGGTGTACATAGGTGGGGTTGGTTCAGATTTTGCAATTATCAAAACCAAACCAATTGTGTCGGGTTATTAAATCAAAAAACCAAACCAATAAAACTCGGGTTTTTCAATCTCGGTTTTTCTCGGATTTTCGGGTTTTTCGGATTTTTTCCGATAAAATCTTCGTAGCACAAGACATACAACTTGTTCTCAAAATATTTCTTTAATCCTAGTAAGATACAACTATATCAGGTATTTTCCAAGAAAATATAAAATTTGAGATGTGTCATGGCATTATCCTAAAATATTCAACAATAAAGACCATAAAATTATGTAATATAAATATATATTGCTAATTAGAAAGCCATAATAAAAATAAACATAATCTAAAAGTACTAAGTCATGCTAAAATAAGTAGACTAATAAGGGAGTATTAATTACATGACTAAACGCTAAAGAAAAATAAAAATAGGTTATGCATTTTTATCTAAATTATTGCAAAACAAAAAATAGATATTCAATACATTGGCGTTCGTAGCATTAAATTGAATGTCTTTTGTTAGCATTAGTATTGATTTGATTTTGGTTTTGGCTTTTGTTAGCATTATTTAAGTTACTAATATTAATGGCTATAAAACTTATTGGAACATTCAAAAGTTCTAAATAAACCTTGAAATAATACCTTAGAAGATAAAATTATGAAAAAGTTTAAAAAATATTTATAAATTACATCATAATAAGTATATTTATATTAAATATATCTAAAATTTCTATATATGTAATGTCGGGTTGGTTTGGTTTCGATTTGAGTTTCTTTAGCTAAAACCAAACCAAACCAATTATGGTCGGGTTTTTTTTTCTAACACCAAACCAAATCAAACCAAACCATAGTCGGGTTTTTTTTCTCGGTTTGACTTGGATTATCGAGTTGGTGCGGTTTGTCGGTTTCCTTTGTACACCCCTAATCAAGACCTTGAAGGTGTATTATCACCTAAATATGTTATTCCTTAATTGCTCGTATTATCCTTTGTTTTTTTCGAATGCAAAAATTAATATAAAATATGTTAAGAAATAAAATAGACAGATATGACAATATTTATCTCTCAAAAATCTGACCTTCCAACATATATAGGTAAAATTCTGATCAAGCATCAATTGAAAATACGAATACCATTATAATAACTTATCAAAGTTCATGCGGCAATTATGGAAAGAAACAAACTTGAACACATGGAGGACATACTACCATAGTAGGCTTAAATAAAGACTGACAGACAAGAAAATATGAAAATAGGACAATACTAAAATTACAACTTTGGAGTAGAAAAAGGAGTTATCCAGAGATAGAGTTAATCGTCTGAAACTAAGAATTGCTCATTTCCTTCTCTGCCGAATCCCCCATAAGCAGCTGAAGATGGATGTATTTATAGCTTTTTTTCTTTGACAAATGAAGTGTAAACTTGAATACTTTGTTTCTCAACTTGGCAAGTAGCCAACGCCACTTGCTTGAAGTGCATACTGCATACTTTCGTTCTTTTTATTCATATTTTTCATGTGCTCATTTCCATATGAAGGGGTCCATATACTAATCTCTGATCTTTAGTTTCGTTCTAGTCAAAATACATTACCACTACGTAATATGCAACATTGACAGTATCGTCATATCATAATACGGTTTCCCTTCACTTACCACTTCAAGAATGAAGAGAAAGAAAGGTTAGGCTGAAGAGGACAGAATTATAACTAGTTTCAATGGCATAGTAGACCCTTAGATTGAATCTCTTGTAAAAACATCAGGCCACTAAAGTTGTGCAGCTCACGATACATGGTGAACCACGGCTAAAATAACTTATCACACTAAAGTCAAAGTTATCCAAGAGAGAGAGAGAGAGAGAGAGAGAGAGAAAATTTACAGGATGAAACAAATCCCTAGAAGAAAGGGATGGCCAAAATTTGCCGCCAACAAGAATATATACCTCATTGTAATATATTTGAATGTTCTCTTTTACATGTGTTTGGGGATGCTCTTTATTTGCTATTGGAGGTTATGGGGGAAGAGGGAGAGGCTTTGAGTATTTGATCTTGTTAAAATGTTAGTGTACAACAGTTGACAGAAAATGGAGGAATCAATTGCCCAGCCTGCCAGCAAACAAGAGAATAAGCAAATTAAGTTCAGAGCTCAGGAATTAAAGAAACACAACTTAAGATAACAAAAGTAAACCGAGTCTGTTTTCATGAAAATAACTATCATGAATGAATATTCTTTTCCTAGTGTTAAAATCCCTATTTTCCTAGAAAAGTTCCTCGTGGATATGCATCTGTGATATGCAAATAGCACCATTCCGGCCATGTTTTGCATTATCCACCAATTGTTAAGTCATACTATATTCTTCAGGGATATAAATAACTATCGAGGTGATAAAATTTTGAAACTGAAACACCAAGAAACAATGGTAAAACTGCTAATTTATACAAGGAAATAAGAACTATGTTAGTATTTTCAATCTGAAATTAGATCAAATTGTAGGCTGTCAATATTCAAGATTAACTTTGTAATTGGTTGCTAAAGGTATACATCAAGAGGTAGAGAAATGAGTTTTAAGTGACAAATGCATGTGGAATAGTGAGTTAAGGTATAAAATCAGATGAACAACATACCTCAAATGGAAGAACGACAAAAGGTACGAACTATGATAAGGTTTCCGTTCGGGCAATCCCAGAGTGGGGACAACTGTGTGGTCTTGACAGAATCATCCCAGCAGAGGCTCTATATTGTATTCTTTACTAGGTGCTATCAATTTTATTTTGTTTCATATATCAGGGATTGAAAATGCTAGAACCACTGACATTGAGAGCAATTAGAACTGAGATACTTGTGATAACCGCAAGCCAAAACAGTGCCGATTCTGCACATAAGAGATGTTAAATGAGACAAGCAAGAAATAAGAAGAACTCTAACATTTCCTGGGAGAAAACAAAATTGAAATTTGAATTATCCAGAGCAATTCGATGCACTTTACCTCCGAAATTTTCAGGGGTATCAGAATTTTGCTGTACAGGTTTAGCAGGAGTACGTTGTCTTGATGCTGACATTCTAGTTTTAAAATCATCTACAGTTTTAATATTGCCTGTTTCAGATGCCACGATCCCTTGGAATTCCTCACTGACAATTAACGCTGCTAATAAATCCACAAATGATTCTTTATCTGTTCCACTAGACACAGTCTTTCCACGCTGCTCATATACAGCAGTATCTCGTTCATCAAAGTCGGATAATTCATCATCTGAAGCATCCAAATCCAAGGACCTTGCTTCAATCCTTTCATCTTCCTCGTCTTCGACATAAGCTTTATATGTCAGTCGGAGTAAGACCTCTCCTACAGGCCTTGGTCCCAGTAGTCCCCAGCCTCTGATGACCACAATTATGTCTGTCGGTACAGTATCTTCAAGAGATCCCAGATCAACCTAGAAATAGCTGTCATTAGCAGGATACCTTTCAAAAAATTGTAAGTTACCCTCTTTTTTATTCTGTATATCATAAAAACCTCTACCACTAATTTTGACCCATTCTCACCTAATATTGCAGATTTCAAAGATAGCATTAAACACAAAATTATTTCAAAATCCAGCATATCCACAAAGTTTTATTAAGTTCCAAGCAGAAGTTTGTAACTTCGCTGATACTTGACTCATATCTGAACTTAGCAAAGAAAA